TGCGATTTTTAATACATGTCCATACACTTAGTTTTCTTTGTGATGGTTTTTTGTTTAATAAGGTAATCTTATAATGATGATTTCTTGTGAAAAAGAAGTGCTGATTAATAGAATATATTGTCTTCCGAAGAAAGCATTTAGGCTAGGCAATTTAGGATTATCCGAAACGTCCTAGTCCTCTTCAACTTACTTGTCTTGTCCCTCATTTTCAAGCCTAAACATAATATAATATATTGTTCCACTATATTCTTTTCTTTTAAAAATAAGTAAATATATCGTTTAGAATTCATAAGGGGCAATGACATATAACTATGAGTTTAGCAAAAATTATTACTTTTACTATTCATACATCTTAATCTTACCGTTATCATAATCAATACACAATTAATTAAATACCTTTACAATTGTTGTGGGAATTTATTATTTTTACATCTTGAACTAAATTCGATTAATAGTATGATTCAAACGGTGAAAATTGATTTTTTTAAATCAACTTGGGGGAATTAGCCGCGCTGAAATTTATTTAAAAAATGCAAAAGTACCAAGTAGATCAAGTATAATAAGTAGGCTTTCAAAACTTTCAACATCATCATGATTCATATTTTGTTATTCTCAAAAGGTGAAATTTCTACCTTGACCTCTGACCCAAAATTAAAACGAGGCCAGGAAAATGAACGAAATTTTGTTTTTAAACACATTTCTTCATATGCTATTAATTAAATTGAGGTAATCTACCACTTGAGTGTCGGCCAAGAAAAAATGCAGTTGTTCCGTTTGGAAGGGCTATTTAAACAACTATTCTTACATTGGAGTCCGTTAATATTTTTGCTTCCGTATTGGCTACAAAGTTATATAGCACAATACTAATACATTTAAATAATTATTACTGCCTAGCTACCGATATGCCAGGAAGAAACAGACTAAAAAGTGCCGATGTCCGAAATGTTTGATACAGATCAGAAACGAGATGAAGAAGAATGGTGGCTGTCCACACTACTGCTGAATTTGTCAGACCCCTTATTCAGCATCTTAAGATGGTGCATTAAAAAAATTATTTTTTTTTTTTTAAATCCAGATGACGCGGACGTCCACACACAGAATGTGGAAAACGTGGATGCTCAAAAAGCGTAAACTGAAAAGACAGTTTGGCACACGCCGTGATCTTTCCTTTTCATATTTAGGTGGATTCATGTACCACACCCGATTTCGTGGAACTTATATTTTTTAAAACTTCGTTGTCGCCTTGGGGGAGAACTATGCATAATTCCATTTTCAAACATTAAATTGTTTAAATTTTTATATTTCAAATTTTTTAAATAGTTTTTCTATTTAAAAAAAAATGTTCTTGTGTATTTGTATTAGTACTATTATTATTAGTATGTGAATTAATACGCACAACCAATGTCATTAAAAATAGTATATGAATAATTGTTTAAATAGACCTTCCAACCGGAACAGCTGGATTTTTTCTTGGCCGACGCTCAAGTGGTAGATTACCTAAATTGATATATCATTCGATATTTTAATGGATTCTATTTTAAAATTACAACTTTCCTATCTAGATATTGCAGAACTGTTTTTAAAACTGTTTTAAAATAACTATATATAATTGCAATTTTTCCAACCTTCCAACGCGGGAGTGGTGCGTACTCCTGTAAATCTAGCGACTTGCAGGCATGAGCTAGTGGATATAATTTTTATGTTAAAAGAATTTTTGTTAGAACAAAATTAAAAGAAATAACAATAGTTTGGAACGCTGTCACACTGTCTTATCCTGTACTGTCCTCAAATAATAAAATAATTAGAGCTCCCTTTAAGTTTTAAGTCTAAGGGAGACTGGGCCGCATCAAGCAAAAGAAGAGCGATTACAAATTCAATTAAGTACAACTGTTACAATCTGCTGAACCTTCATTAATAACAAAATAAAATATTAAGGGTTCTCAAAAACTAGGCGTACCTTTCTTCCTCCTACTCCTTGTTGCCAGAGACCTGACAGCGCTTCTGGCAGCTTAGTAACATTTGGCTTGAGTGAAGAAGCAACTGAGAACCTCAGTACAGCTGGAAGATGATCATCCGTAAGTTTGGCCCTGAACTTTGACTTGTTAATTTTCATAGTGGGGAAAAGAGCTTTTCACACAAGATAGGTTCTCCCCCCCCCCCCCCCCCAAAAAAAAAAAGCACATGATCCGCTTGAACAACCTGGAAATCTCAGTGAAGGTGGAGGACAATGCTCTTATAAATTATCCATGCTTGTCTGTTTTTGCATTCATCTCCCTGAACTTAGAATTGCACTGAAGATCAATCAGCTCCATTTGAAACACAAGTGGTAGTGGGGTGCATCTTCCACATTATAGGAGAAAGGCTAGGCGACAAGTTAAAAAGTTGCTCTGTGTGTTTTGAAGTCTAAAAACATTTTATCAAATTCTTCCTGTTGCTTTGCAGTGGCATCAGTATACTCACTGCTGAATGGTGTTTCCGAATCTTTATGTACTTTTCATGTTGGGAAATGGCAGAGGTTTCTCCAAGAACCATAACACACGTTTTGTGCAGAGTGCTCTAACATTGTTATTAATGTCATAGGCAACACTGGCAACTTCTTGTTGAGTACATGTCAACAGAAAAGCCAAGTCCATGAGCCATTTAGGATCACTTAGCACAGGAAAAACCACCCCATCCTTCTCCATGAAGGCTTAAAATTCTTAAATGTGTTCAGACAGCAGGCTGGAGTAGGCAATATTTATGAATTATTGATGCAAAGGAAGATGCTATTGTAGGGAGAATTAATTTTTAGTTTTTTATGGTAGAAAATACCTTTTTGACAAACCCTTGTTTTTAAATAGAACTAAGCTGACCTGCTCAGAAGTTACCTCACGCGTTAACAGTAGGGCCAATTTTGATAGGGATCCTTTGATACTGTGTCAGATTTACACAATTATGATTGTGCATTACCCACTAAATGACTTTTACATTTTTCTGAAAACCGCACTTAGGCCACCTTTGTCTCATGAAATGCTATTTAAAAAGAGAAACTTTTTGTCCGGTTTTGAAACAGTTTTTACCATTATAATCAACTTCCAAATCTTGACAAACATAACCAAAAAAAAAAAAATCAGAAATGGACTAGTCGCTGAAATTCGACTGCAACCGTCGCGAAGGATCACATAATTACAGATATGAGAATGGGGAAAACTAGCGGGCCGCATTACACTATAATTTGCTGTCATGTAGCGGGCCGCAAAATATTGTCTTGCGGGCCGCAAATGGCCCGCGGGTCGCGAGTTTGAGACCCCTAAATGACTCAATGCTATTCGGATGTCATTTTTGGTACCGGTAGTTTATTTTAGTTAAACTGAGGAATTAAGTTTACAAACATTAAGTCCATATCTTTGATTTGATACCAAATTTTGTCTTACAACCGAACAATATATATATATAT